GCATCGTGCTCTGGGGTGATGGATACGATGGAGAGTTTGTTTTGATGTTTGACCAAGCTGTGCACTGCAAAAAAAAAGAAAAAAAGAAAGAAAAAAAAGTATACATAAAGAGTATTTTTAAAAAGGTATTTTTATTTAAAACCAGAAACATGCACACAAATCAAAATTATATTTATTTTAATGAATTTAAATTCATATATATGAATTAATTTATTGATTACATTGTACCTTTTGTTTGTTATACATTTTTTAAAATATTTTGTGCATATTTTTCTATTCTTTTTTATGGATAAATATTTTTTATATAAAAAAATACTACATATACACAAATTAGTGTATATTAAATGTATTCATTTGTAATATTTATTTTTATTAAATTTTTAATATATAATTATTTATTTATTTATTTATTTATTTGGATTAATTTATTTGCAATATTTATTTACTTGTAATGTTTATTATTTTTTATTTATTTGTAATATTTAATTATTTATTTGTAATATTTATTTATTTGTAATATTTGTTTATTTAATCAAACGGAGCACCCAGAGGAAACCCACGCGAATGCAGTGAGAACATGCAAACTCCACACAGAAACGTCGAGGATCGAATTAGCAACCAAGCGACCGTCTTGCTGTGAGGCGACAACAATACCTACTGCGCCACTCCGTCGCCAGATTTATTTAACTGTAATATATATTCATTTGTAATATTAATAATTTTTTATATTTTTATTTATTTGATTAATTGTAATATAATATTTAATAAATTTTTGTATTTATTTATTTGTATTATTTATGTATTTGTAGTATTTATTTTATTGTAATTTGTTTATTTGTAATATTAATTAATTTATTTGTATTACTTATTTGTTGTATTTAATTAATTAATTAATTAATTTATTTATTTATTTTGTAATTCAGCATTGATACATTAAATCAATCACTAAAAACTAAATATTTATTTTGAACTTTCTAGGCACCATTGCTGGCAATATTTTTATGTCATGTTTAACTATGAACTTATCAACTTATTAGATCCAATGCAATAGAATATGTATTATTTCAGTGCATTCAAATTATTTAATTTTCATATCAAAATTATCTGATATAAAACAGCAAATAATTTTCACCATTGCAGCGATCAATCTTGTATTAAAATAGATTAATTATACTATCTCACAATAAATATATGTATGTTTTTACAAATTTTCCATCTAATAAATGCACTTCCTGCAAAAGCATTAAAAGAAACTTACAAACAACTGTGTATATGTATATACAGTAGTCTACTGTATAAATGAATTTATTTTGCACTAGTGCAAAAACTTTGAGACTTTAAGTATGAATTTTATCTTCCATTGTTCTTTGAATAATTTCTCAGTATTTCTGGGACAGAGTTATATATGCCTTTGAATCTCCCATTATTTTAAAATGACAAGAACTGTAACCAATGCACGATCCATGTATAAAACTTCACATATTCTCCATTATACATTGACATTAAATGGATGTACAGCTAATTTACATGCCTCTCTGGTCAATGGAAGATCCATCACGTCTATTTAATAAGTAAAATTCTTCTTTCAGTGGGCAATTATCAGTACCCTTTTCATAAGTCATTTCCGATGTTTAAAACAAATGACAGTTAATAACATTCACCATGTGCAAAACCTGTTCAAGTCTGACTCTAATACATAAGACATTTGTAAACCACACATCCATTTTAATCTCTAATTTTTTTATCGTGAAGCATTTATTTTTCGATCCTCACAGTGGGATTTTTCACACTTTTCATGTCACCTGTCCATTAAAAGGAGTATCATTTCCCACAGCTTCATAATTGCAATGGCCTGGTTACCTTTCCTTTGTCTGATGCCTGTTGAGTGATGCCATGCTGACTTGGTATCCGGTGCTGCTGTGGTTTTTTATTGATGTCAAAACATTTTTCGATACCTGTATTATGTAACAGCCTGTTTTACTGGTTTTTGCCTACAAGTACCTGCCCAGTCTCTTCTCTCTACAGCTGATATATTGATGTAAAACTTGTTTGCATGAATGTTTTCATCAGCCTCTTTAAACATTAGGAGAAACTTAAAGATTTATACACTTAAAGAGACAGTTCACCCAAAAATGACAGTTTGTGCTAACATATTCATGCAAGATTTAGGTGACTTTTATTTGTCTTAGCTAAATAAAGATTTTTTTTTTTGTAAAATGTGGTTGTTAGCTATTCATAAAATGCAAGTTAGCAGTTGCTGATGCTTCAAGAGTAAACAAAACAAACATATGTGAAAACAAAAATAATAGCCTTGGCTCCTCATGATATATTGAGTAAAACCACCAGTACAAGAAATCCAACTTTATTTACAGCATTAAGTTTTATTCACAGCGTTTGCAAACAAGCTTAATCACTGTCATGACTGTCTGAAAAAAAACAACATTTGGTTTATTCAGCAGGTTACTTTTATTCAAAGTAAATCTATTTTACATATTATCAGTTCCTCCAGGATTTTGCAGGCAAATTTAAGTCCAAATGAACTGTTTTTTATAATGCTTTTTCCAAAACAAATATGGCATTGTTCGTTTGATTATTGTGTTTTGCTGTGAAAATACACATTAATTTTTAAAATCCGATAAACCGATTGACTCGCAAAATACTAAAGCAACTCTTCTATTTAATATAAACAACATTTGAAAACCGGTGGATTACAGAACATCTGACTATGTTCAATTTTAAATTATTTTCTTTCTTTGCGTGACACATTGACTTTACAGAATGGGTCTTTTGGGATTCTGAGTTTTATAATGCATTCATTCATGTATCCTTCACCAAAAAAAAAAAAAAGCGCTATTTAAGGCAACATTGAAAGTCTTTTATTTTTTCTCTTTTTAGGTATTGTTAAACACATTTGCAATAAAAGCAATTACTACATAAAAACCTTTATATAACACTGTAATTTCTGTTTGCCTGAGCAAATCATTTTCTATATTAGTAGTTATAAGTCATCGTTTAGTAGTGGATCAATATTAGTTGTCCTTGTAGTGATGAAATAACCAGAAATTAACATTTTCATACAGTATATTGTAATTTAAGGGTGTAAAAATGAAGGTTTCAAATTGTAATTTTCGGTAGAGTCCATAGAAAGTTCTTTAAAATAGAGGTTCCTTATTGAAATTTGGCATTTTGTGATCATTTTTTATTGAACATTTGGAAATAATCTAGCATACATTGTTATAGACAAGGATAGCAACCAACTGCATTTTCTATTAATACCCCACCGCACCCACCCCTGGCGAAAATAATAAACATTTGAACAACCAAAGGAATCAAATCAGATCAAAAACAAGAAGAGAGAGAAAAATAATTATTATTATTACAATACATATAAATAAATAACTATAGTAAATAAATCAATACATTTACTTCTGCATTTAAATCCTTACAAGCAAACTTTTAACAAAGGTAGAAACATTGACCTTTTACACATATGTAAAAAATGCAAAGAAATTAATTACAATAGCATATCTTTTATCTCAGTAATTGCACACATCCATGAAGTAATGATTTTTGTAAAAGCACCTTCCATCCTTGCCACAGACAGTTCTATATTTGCTATGTCCAAAAACATATATATCCAGTTTTTCCGGTCCAGGGATTGTGGAGGATGCCAATATAATGTTTTTAACACATTTCTGAACATAATAGTTTTAATAACTCATTTCTAATAACTGATTTATTTTATCTTTGCCATGATGACAGTAAATAATATTTGACTAGATATTTTTCAAGACACTTTTATACAGCTTAAAGTGACATTTAAAGGCTTAACTAGGTTTATTAGCTTAGCTAGGCAGGTTAGAGTAATTAGGCAAGTTATTGTATAATGATGGTTTGTTCTGTAGACAATCGGAAAAAAAGATTAACTTAAAGGGGCTAATAATTTTGTGAAATTAAAATGGTGTTTAAAAAATTAATAACTTATTTTATTCTAGCTGAAATAAAACAAATAAGACTTTCTCCAGAAGAAAAAATATTATCAGACAAACTTTGAAAATTTCCTTGCCCTGTTAAACATAATTTGGGAAATATTTAAAAAAGATAAAAAAATCAAAGGGGGGCTAATAATTTTGACTTCAACTGTACAGTATATGTGTGTGTGTGTGTGTGTGTGTGTGTGTGTGTGTGTGTGTGTGTGTGTGTGTGTGTGTGTGTGTGTGTGTGTGTGTGTGTGTGTGTGTGTGTGTGTGTGTGTGTGTGTGAAGAGTTCAGATGCAAAAACGTCTAAATGCCATTTGACATTTTTTCCTAAAATGAGGATTTTTACCAGCCTCCCATGTTTATGTTCAAGTATTTCACTTTCGATGCACTGAAAAGAACCTATTCATCACTATAAAAGTAAAATTTCTGAGTCTACACAACAGAGTCAGAAACCAATGCTATTTTAGAAAAAAATATCAAAGGGCATTTAGAGGTTTTTGCATTTAATCTCTTCAAACAATATGATGTATGATAATCTATTTTGTTATTATGATTTGATTTGATTTTTAGGTGTGAATTTTTAACATTCTCAAGGGTTTTTTGATGACAAAATACCATTCTTGGCTATTTCTGACAGATTTTACAGTAATGTTTATTAATGTTAATTGCCCCTGTAAACAAATAAACTAAACTAAAAACTTAACAAACAGAAATATATTTGAATAATTTAACAAAACTTTATTTCACTATACAAACTAAAATGCTTTGTGGATGTTAAAGGTTTTCAAACTTCATTTTTAAGGGTGTAAAAGAAGCAGTGCTGTGCTTTGTCATGCTGTGAGTCTGGAGGCGATTGAAGAAAGGAGGGGGGGAATGTGACTGTACAGGCATTTCTGTTCAAGTGCAAAGACTTTGCAATGTTGGGGGGTGGGGGGGAGAAGAGCCCCTGAGCATTGTAGCGTCCTACTGTACATGCACTCTCAGCACTGCCGCTCTAAGTGGAGCTCCGCTGTTTGCAGGACGCAAAATCTGCAGTGGAGGAGAGTCGATCCCTGCGGACGCGGATTCATCTGGCAGAGGCTGCACAGAAACAGGCCCGGGGAATGGAGATGGACTACGAAGAGGTCATCCACCTCCTGGAGGCTGAGATAGCTGAGATGAAGTCTCTAAAAACTGAACAACCCAGTCAGGAAAAGGTACTTCACTTTAAGAGTCCTTACAATAACATTATGCTGTCAATGTCAATCCACATCCCCCTTCTCAAATCCACTCCGGGTTTTTCCTCTCACCTGTTCTATCAAAAGTAGGTCACTGTTTGCTTTGTATTATTCAGTGACTGGGCTGATGTGCTGTGAAGGCTTTAACATGATCTTGCAGGGTGACGTGGGCTGATGAGGTTATTTTTGAAATCTCTGGCTAGCAACCTTGCGTGTCTCTAGGATAAACTTGTATTTTCACACCAATTTGCTTTTCTTTTTTCCTTTTTTAGTTTTTGTTGCAAAAAATAATCAAATGTGATGTGAAAAATATGAAAAAAATATTCATTTTATTCAATATTATTTTTTAGGTAAGTGGTTGCAAACTATTTATTTGGGCTGAATTTAAACAAGGTATTTATGTTGAAAGTTACTAAATTTAATTTGTTTAAATCCAGTCCTTATAAATGGTTTGCAACCACTTATTTAAAAAAAAAATGAGGTAAATCCAATGAATCATTATTTTCAGTGTATATATTCTAACAATAACCTAAATAAAACTGCTCTGACAATGCTGTTTTCAAAGTTTGATTTTCTTACATTATTATTTTACATTTGTAATGGCATATTTATACACTCAAAAAAAAATTGTTGAATCAACATGATTTAATCGTGGCACCCTTTATGCATCTAATCCAATCAAGTAAACCTGAGCTGCTTTGAACATGTTGTATGAACACAAAGCACATTTGTAGATAAAACATAGTTTTAATATGTCAGTCTAACTTCTTTGCAACTAATTGACTCAAAAGGTTTGTATTGTGTTATTCTAATTAAAATGATTCTAATTTACTCAATGTAACACTAAAGCTTTACTTTAACAAATTTATGTCTTGTTAAATCAGCTAGTAAATTTCTTGTTCAATATTGTTGTTTAAATTCATTCATTCTCTTGTCGGCTTAGTCCCTTTATTAATCCGGGGTCGCCACAGCGGAATGAACCGCCAACTTATCCAGCAAGTTTTTTACGCAGCGGATGCCCTTCCAGCCGCAACCCATCTGGGAAACATTCACACACACACTCATACACTACGGACAATTCAGCTTACCCAATTCACCTGTACCGCATGTCTTTGGACTGTGGGGGAAACTGGAGCACCCGGAGGAAACCCACGCGAGGCATGGAGAACATACAAACTCCACACAGAAACGCCAACTGAGCCGAGGTTCGAACCAGCGACCCAGCGACCTTCTTGCTGTGAGGCGAACGTGCTACCCACTGCGCCAAGAAAACAGAAAACATATATATATATATATATATATATATATATATATATATATATATATATATATATATATTTCTTTTATTATAGCCTTTATCAGGCACCAATCACATTTAAACAAATTTCTTCTATAATATTCTGATACCAAATGTTATATAATATCCAAAATTGTAATATGTAATATAAAATGTATAAGAAACATTTAGCCAACAAAATAACCTTGGCTCTTGAGAATACTGATCCCCAAGCAATACCTGTAGGACGTTAACATAATTTTTTTTACCAATTGAGTTTAAACAGCTTTCTTCACTTTGGTACTCCTATTCAAAATGTAAAAGTATAAAATGTATAGGAAACATATAGCCAACAACATAACATGCATAACATTCAAGCTCTTGGGAAAACCAATTCCCAAACCTTGGCGAAAACACGCGGTGATACTTCTTGTTGTTTTTGTATGGTGACATCCAAACGCACTACCGCCACCTACTGATATGCGCAAAGTGACTCTCTAGAGTGAGAGTTGTCGATTTGAAGCGTCCCAGTCTCATTGAATCAACATGTTCTGATCAAATTCATTTGATTCTTTCTTGATTCAGTTTCAAATAACATGAATTAATCATTTAACATACGTAAACTTGATTTGTTCTTTTCAATCTGACAAATTTTTATTTTGTGAATCCAATACATGCCTAGTTGATTTTTTGGAGTAAAGACATGCTCTAAGTCAATGTCCTTTTAATATATACAGCAATGGAAGAAATTAAGAGCACTTGAAAAGTGTGTTTTACTCCAACACATAAATCGTAAAAAAAAAAAAAAAAAAACACAGATTTTTTTCTATAGCTGAATCATTGTTTAATATGACCACTTTATCATCCACACAGGAGGATCTACAAGATCTGAAAAAAAGGATATCTGTTCTTGAATGCCAGTTACGGAAGAGTGAAGTAGCAAAGAAGGGGTTTCAAGTCTCCACGGGTAAACTTCTGCAGTTTGTAGAGGTGATTTATGTTAACTTTTCACTATTTAACCGAGTA